AAACCACAACAGAGCTAAAGTTGTTCGCGGTGAAACAGCCTCCTTGAAGTCGATGCAGCTTCAACTAGCCAGGCGATATGGGGACGCTTAAATCAATTTCCACATCGTAATTATTTCATTTTTATTATTTCTATTCTAACTATGGAATTGATATACAAAACATAAAAAACGTTAAATGTTACGTGCAACATAAATATAGGAAAATGTATATACGTGCTAATATTACAATAATTATGAGTGTTCATTCACGGCGAGTTGCTCTTGACTATTTTAATAGACTAATTTTACCAACTTTTAGTTTTAAAATGAAGAATGAATCGTGCACAAACCGGACCCGGAAATCCGCAAATAAATATGTGAAGCAGCGTCGACGTAGACCCGCAGGATAGAACCGTGCTGTATGGCGCTTTAAATATCGTATGCTAATTAGGTTAATAATAGTACGGGTTATCTGGTTGATTATTATCTGAATGTTACTGGGTCCCGCTTTTTAATAAACATAAACATATTCGAAATGAGTCTATAAATACCAAATTACATACTACTGTAACGCATTGTTTTATATTCATAATGAATATATTGAAGTTAAATTAACGAAAACGTATTATTTATTTATTTATAGTGTTTTAATATAAAACCCATTGAGATCTCGCCTCTAACTACTGGGACATGATCTTCTAAGAACGGATTAACGGCAAGAAAAACTAAAAAATCGACATATTCAAACTAAAATACAAATAAATATAATATAAAGGGCTATAAAAAAAATTAGAGCCTCATACTAACATCGGATTTTAATCAGATTGACAAATGCACATACATTTGAAGGCTCAGTGGCACCCCTATATACAATAATTGGTCATCATGTCAGACTTTGGTAGTAAGAAAATCCATTTAACATAATGTTCAAAGGATCCTCTCACTGAGTTCGAGTGTGTGTATATATAAATATAGATATGGTAGGTGACTTAATATGGACTTCATGTTTTAGTTGCTTGTATTCCCGAGTGGTTACTGACGAATGTTACCAAGGGCTTCCTATAGTATATCCAGTAACCGATATGTCGGCACTGCAAATTAATGGACAAGCCCTTGTATACTACTCAAAACAATTTAAGGAACACCTGAGTTTTTACAATAAATACAGTTGGACCATGTTAAACTATGTCATATGACCCCAATATTGCCACAATAGCAGTTTTTAACCTGCCACACATGTCTGAATTCTTTCTTAACCCCGTAGTTGAGAATAGGTGCGCCCTCAATTTCACAGTTACATATTCTTTCAGGGGAAAATTGTTCATCACACACCTGCTCTAGTTCTTATGCTTCAAAGAATGTTGAGTTTTGTCCCTGTACATAATGCATCCTTGTGATCACATCTTCCAATTATGGTAATCAGAATACACTCACTAATGGCGTTGTCGAAGCTTTTGCAAGCATGCCTCCACGTCGACATTTAACAATTGAAGAGAGAGCCAGGGCCATAGGCTGGTTTCCTTGCGAGAAGCTGCAAGAAGGCTAAATGTGAGCCCATCTGTTATTCATAGACTATCCTTGCGATCCGTGGTACATCATGGCCATTTTACAGTGTAATCTCATCCTTACAATTAATTAAATACAAATTTAGTATATTAGTCATATTTTTGATTCGATGTTAACATAACTCTGTACTATGGTGTTGGTGATATATGAATTGGGTGCCATAGGATGGTACTTGATGGCCAACCAACCTAATCAAATATGTAGTTTGCATTGTACGAGTGCAAAATAAGTTATTAGGAAATTAGAACATTAGGATATTAGTACCAGCTGTTTTAGACGCATGCGCATTGGCCGATCCTGTCACATCTCGTCATCTGTTTTGAGGCGTGTCTGGTCGATGTGAAATTGCTTCAGCCATTGTGTTTACGAAGAAATTAACTGGTGTCTGTGGGAAAACCGCTGTAAAGTGACGGTAACATGAATTTGCGCGGTTTTTGCGCTTCCATTTTCTGAATGATTTGGAGCAGCAATGGAAGCCGACCATTTAATTGATAAAAATCTTGTCTAGATTATGATTTTAAATGGCCGAACTTATAGAGAAATCAGTCTCGTATTGGAAAGCATGTTTTCGGGAAGGAGATGTATCGAGGTGGTGTGGCGTGGTGAGTAGATTTCCTCCCCAGGACGCCGAGTTGGGCTTCGGTACTGAAAAGAAGGCGGTGAATATGGTGTCGAGCGACCAACATAACCAAACTTAGAACTCTCGATACTGGTGCAGACGACTATGGTCGAACAACCATGAAAAATAAGTGGCAGGACATTGGTGTTTCACGTTTAGCGCAGAAAAAAGGACACGCCCACAGTTGGACAACCAATCATTTTAATATTGGTCACATGTACCACAGATCATCTCCACGTCCTTTGTAAATAACACATATACGATGTGCCGGCATCCAATGGCGGGATGAGCGGCTTCCTTTGTGCACAATCATCGTCAACTTCGCGAGAGAAACGCGACGTACTTGCTAAGCCAGACCGTCTGGTGGCGCCCTACTATTTCACCAATAACCAAATATACTATTATCTACGGTGGCCCACATACGGTGGCCCACAGGTGTCACATCATGTTTTATTTCCCGTAACACAGACTTTGTTGCTCGAAACACAAATTTAACTTACAAAACAAAACTTTAATTTCTCGCAACACAACTTTATTTTACGTAACGAAACTTAAATTTCTCGCGACACAACTTTATTTTACAAAACAAAACTTAAATTTCTCGCAACACAATTTTATTTTACGTAACGAAACTTAAATTTCTTGCAACACAATTTTATTTAACAAAACAAAACTTAAATTTCTCGCAACACAAGTTTATTTTACGTAACGAAACTTTAGATTACAAAACTATACTTCAATTCTCAGAAACCTAATTTTTCACAATACAAATTTAACTTCACATACCACAACCTTATCTTGTGACATAATAACTTTAATTCACACAATACTATAAATGTTCGCAATATCAAACATTTTAAGAAAGATACAAAACTTAAATTTCAAAAACCTTTTTATTATAAACAACGGAAGATGGCTATGTATCTCACAATTCACTGCATTGGCAGCCATATTTGTGGAGTACTTACACTGTATACACATCAATTAGGTATATCGTACGTACACTTGCTATGGCTGCAGCACATGCAGGTAATGATTATGATGCAGCTGCAGCATCTGATTCTAATGAAATTGACGATGAACAATTGATAAAGTACTTCTTTTTTAGTGGGTATCAGTATGACGAAATCCTTAATTTTTTTCAAAATATTATGATATAAATATAAGCAAGAGTACATTGATGAGGAGACTTAAGCAATACGGATTGAGGAAAAGAACCCCAGACTACGATATAAATTTTATAAGAAGAACAATTGCACAAATGTTAGACGGCCCTGATTGTATTGGTGGATACAAAACAGTGTGGCATACACTTTAGCTGCAAGGTATCCGGGTTCCACGAATTGTAGTGCAGAAACTCCTGCGTGAGTTGGACTCTAAAGGTACAGAAAAGCACACCGACTTAAAATAAGAGTGTACCTCTCTCCTGGACCAAACTTTTCCTTGAAGCCATTTGGTTTCCTATTCACGGTTGTATAGATGGTTACAGTAGATAAATACTATGGCTCTTTGTTACACATTCCAATAATTCAACAGAAAATATAGCAAGGGAGTTCGGTGGATGCCCAATACAACTAGATACCGACTGAGAATGGCACAATGGCTGTCATTCATTGTTTCGTCAGAGATGATGCCGATTCTCATAGATACGTTACATCTCAGCATAATCGAATAATTGAAGGATGGTGGTTATTCTTAAGAAGAAATCGCTCTACATGGTGGATTAATTTGTTCAAGGACTTGGAGGCTCAACGAATTTTGGATACCAACAGCAAATTACAAAAAGAGTGTTTGTGGTTTTGCTTCGCAAGTTTGCTTCAAATAGATTTGGATCATGTATTACAGTACTGGAATACACACTACATTAGAAGGTCAAGGCACGACACTGTAATGGAAGACCAGATTCACTATCTTATTTACCTGAATACCACATGGGAGCAGAACACTTGGCATTACCTGTACCAGATACAGAGATGGAATATGCAAATACCCAGATTATTGATGTGGAGGAAGACTGTGAATACCAGGAATATTTTCAATATGTAGTAAATACATGTAATTTTGCAAAACCTGATGACTGGAAAGAAGCACTAGAATTGTATAAACATTTAGTTCACTGTGCATATAATGGAATTTGATTCTCTGCATGAATTATCATTGATTTTGTAGTTTACGTAGAACGTTATGATTCACAGTTTATACAGATATACCATTTTGTGTATCTGTTGGAAGAGATTAACGCTCCTCAATCATTATTAACACGTTTTATTTAATAATGAATTTTAGCATGAATCACGAATTCATTGTGTACGAGAAATATGCATCCACATAATTCCCACTTTACAAATGCTAGATGATGATGTCTTAACATCATAATGTATACATTATCTACTACACACAAACCTGATTATATGATTATATACTGCAACTGTAGGACATGTAGTGATCATCATGGAATGTGAATCGTATTTCAGAATGCACATAATTTGTTTATATTGGTGTCATTCCACTCTTTCCACTGACATATGTAAACAATTATTTTACCAACACACTAAAGACAATGTTTTATTCAAGCAGTGAATACTTAATATACTTGTATTTGTATACTAAGACACAAACCTGTAAACATATGCAACTGTAATTATGAAATGGATTAAAGGCACAATCAAAGTGTTAATAAATAACATTTTGTGGTCTATCAAATACTAAAAGGGTCTATGTGAACCAACAGAAAAATATAACATGGACTCTTGAAATCTAACATTTAACTACTAACTACTATAACAAATATAGAAAATAACTATATGTTTTACCATGTACACTGCATGTAAATATATTAGGCATAACTAAAACCTTTGGCGTTTGCAAGACCAAATTCCATAGCATTTTTGAATTCATCGTATGTATTGTGAACAACTGGTAAGCTAAGAATACCAGCACAAGTATTGGCCTTTGGAAACTTTGAATGCATTTCATTTGCTTCTTTCTCATGACGGAATTGTACTCCCAGTTGCAAACCGAAAACAAACTCACAACAGCCTGTGCTGAACATAAGAAGTTGTGCAAGAGTTAGCTGAGATTCACTTTCTTCAACATCTTGTAGAAAATCTGCCCAGTGGGCAAGTACTCTGCTTTCTACATTATATGCATTTGATTCATTTTCACTTCTTGTAATAACAACCTTCTCGGATACTGCAAATGTCGCAGCAGTGAGTGGTACAGCCTCATAACAAAATGATGGCTTGAAGACAAAGGGATACTCTTGGATTGCTGCCAATACACCAAGGGTAGAAAGACCATTCTTGAATTGGTCTACTGCTGTTTTTGTTCTCCCAAATAAGTACCATTTGATAGTGTCCCGAATAACGTTTTCCTTGTCATCTTCACTTTGAATGTGTTTCCATATACCTGTAAGTTCTAGTAGATTTTCTAGCGTTCCGCTTATAACACTGTTTGCTTCTTCAACGTTAACATTCCTCAGTTTGAGCAAATCTTCTTTCACTGCAGAACCTACCGGAAGATCTTCTGTTGTAGGTTTTACCGACTCAGTTCCATGTACTATTACATTGAAAAAATGGTCTGCAAAACAGTGGGGTGCAGGACCTCCATGGACCAATGACATAGCAATTATTTGGCCTACCAAATAATATTCATTTTCATCAACAGATTTACTAATGCATGTAAGAAACTTGGTAGTTGAAGTACCATCTAACAGATGGGATCCTACAATATGGTTCATAGTCAAAGTCAACATTTCCCGCATTGGGCCACCCCTATCGTCCTCGGTGCTGTTTAAAAAAATCCCAGAGTAAGTAAAATCGAGCATATTCATATTTGATCAACTTATATTAAATGTTTGTATAATTATATGAAATTGATAACAAAGTGTGGTAATATTCGATCTGGGTTGATGATACCTGACTATTTAGCTAGCATTAATATATTTAGTATATATCCATTCTATATTTGATGT